TCATCTTATCACCATCAAACTGGTTGGCCCACTATTTGAGTGTGCTGCTTATAGGACTGAGTTTGTTGTGGCTCCTCAGACTGATGAAGTCCTTTGGATGAAAGACGAAATGTTTTAACAAAAAAAGAAACCGTCCAGAGGACCTGACTTAACTATGTTGGAGACAACCATTCACACTTTCACTCACACTTAGGGTTAATTTAGTTACCTAGCACCCTAAAAGGTCAATATCAAAAACTAGGTTGCCAAGTTAAAATCCAAGATGGCCACCTCTAAATACTGGTATATGTAAACTGACCAAACCAATAATTTGAGGAAATTATGCTTTTAAGTTCTTTAATTCCTTAAAAAAGTTTTCTCAAATATTTGGGGTGGCCCTCGGGGTGGCTATAGATTCATCTTTGGTGGCTCAGGCCACCAATGGCCACCCCCTGACTATGCCATTGCACCTGGTGGAAGATAAAATGGCTCTCTCCACTCGCCAGGATCAGTCACTCAGCGCTGTCTCGACTAAGCAATAAATAAATAAATAAATACAGTCTCTTCTTCTACCCTGTGTAACTCCTCACCACTTGAATATATTGCTACAAAAAAACATTGATTCCATAAGAATTTATTCCAGAAAAACACATCTCAAAAACTACAAATGTTCACTCTTCAAACCTCTCAGCGATGGTGGACATCGGAATACTGCTAGTTCTGTCTGCTTCTAATAAGCTTAACATTTACTGAAAACAAATATTTGGCCTTTTTCATCTTTCTTTTTCTGTTGTCATTTTACCAAATTCATACTAAATTGTGATTTATGTTCCTCCCCACAAATGAGACACCAAAGCTCACAAAGTTGATGTAATGCTGCATGGATTCACCTTTTTGTTTGGTTTCAAACTTGAACGTTAACGCTGTGCTTTTAGTATATCGGAACTCTGATAAACAGAATGAATTTGTTAGCAGAAGGCGATTTAAAAAATCTACCAGTCTTCCTTTAAATCAGTACCCTGTGCTCTTTCAGGTGATGAGCTGATTACTGAGATGATAAGCTCACCCAACCTCACAGACAGACGCGCAGCAGGAGGTCTGATGAAGCTGAGCCAAATGCATGTTTAAAATACTGATTGGTTCTGCTGCCCACGGTACACAAGGCTGAGAATTTGGCTGGAGATTATCCTACTTACAGGGTTATAGCTTTTCCTTTTGAAAAGAAATAGTTTGATAACATTTAAACGAAAAGAACAAAGTATTTCAGTTTACAAAACTGCAAATCTGAACAGTTTTTTACCAAACATCTGTTATATTAACACTGCTAATGTCTTTAAGTTATGCTTTCATTCAGGTATGTGCACTGCTCTCCATATTAAGCATGTGATGTTGCATAGTCCATCATTTAGGTCAATAAACTCAGGTTTAGCATATACTGTAATTTATATGCTTGATCTATATTTGTATTTTAGTTTCTTTGACCCCTCCGTGACCTCCTTTGGCCATCAGACAAACAGCTTACGGGCAAAACAGCTTGAACGTGTATCATCACAATATGACTGTCACATCCATTTCTTTGAAAATTCCCAAAATAAACTGAAAAGCAGTAAATTCTGTTTTTCTCTGACTGGAAATGACATCAATAACCCCCTCTGAGACAAACCTGTGATACGAGGCTTTAAAAATAACAGTGACTTGATTTGTTTCTACACTTCTGCAGAGCCTGCAGGCTGGAGTGCATTTTCACATGTTCCACACCAGGAGCAGGACTGTTAAACATCAGGGCCAGGTGTCAATTCTTTTTACCAGAAATCTTGTAGATGAAATCCATGCTTTGGAGGATTTAGATTTGGTTTACCTTGCAGTATTTACACAAATAGATTGACTCGTTGTTAAAAAAAAGTCAGCCTCATAATACAAAGAAAATTTTGAGAAAAACATTTTAAGTAGGTGTGTGTGTGTTCATCCAAGTTCCCACAGTGTCGTTCATAAAAGGGGAGCTTCTTATTTTTACCTTCACAAAATAAACATTCAGCTAAAAGCCGTCCTCATCAAATAAGATACATTAATACTTTTTGTGAATGCTTATGCTGAATGTCCTGATGCTGCTCAAAAATCCAGGTAGAAAAATCTAACAAGGTTTAGTCTGGTCCCCTGGACAGACTCTTCTTTGTTAAACACTTTGTCTTTTATCCAAAAGACTATGTCAGTCTGAGGAGCTGCAACAAACTCAGTCTTATAAATAGCACCTTCTCAAAGTAGATCAATCAATTTGTTGGTGACATCCAGAACTAGCTGTTCACATGCAAAAGGAGGACCACTAGCCTAACGACCAATCGCTAGTGCTTTGATAGTTGCTTGCTATTCACAGAGGGCTGAGTGATACTAGCAATCACAGCATTGTAAGAGGGGACAGTTGAACCCGGAGGCCTCCACCCCTGTTTAACGATGGACGATTTCTTTTCACAAAGATGGCCTCCTTTACTCCTCTCTCAAACCATCGTTCCTCTCTGTCCAGGATGTGAACATCTTCATCCCTGAAAGAGTGACCGCTGGTCTGGAGATGAGTGTAGACCGCAGAATCCTGGCCTGATGATGTTGACCTTCTGTGCTGGGCCATCCTTTTGGCCAGTGGCTGTTTAGTTTCCCCGATGTAAGACTGATCACAGCCCTCCTGACACTGAACAGCATACACAACATTACTCTGTTTGTGCCGGGGGACTGGATCTTTGGGATGAACCAGTCTTTGCCGTAATGTATTTTGGGGTTTAAAAGCCACTGGGACGTTATGTTTAGAAAATAAATGTCTCAGTTTCTCTGATACTCCCTCAACATATGGAATGACCACTGGTCTGGGTCTGGGTTCCTCCTTTTCACCTGTTGGCTGACTGGAGTCCTGTTTGGGTTTCTTCTCTGCTTTCAGGAAGGCCCAGTTAGGATATCCACATTGCTCTAGAGCCTGTCTTGTGTGGGATTTCTCCTTCTGCCTGGCTCCTGAGTTAGTGGGGTCGCTGTCTGCTCTGTGATACAGAGTCCTGATGACTCCTAACTTGTGCTCCAATGGGTGATGGGAGTCAAACTGCAAATACTGGTCTGTGTGGGTGGGTTTGCGGTACACCTCGGTTTGCAAATGTCCTCTATCAGAGACTGAGACCTCACAGTCCAAGAACGCCAACCTGCCATTTTTTACATCTTCTCGTGTGAACTTGATGTATTTATCCACAGAGTTGATGTGATCAGTAAAATGTTGGACTTCCTGAGATTTAATTTTAACCCAGGTGTCGTCAACATACCTGAACCAATGACTTGGTGGTGTCCCTGAAAAGGACGTCAAGGCTCTCTTTTCTACCTCCTCCAGGTACAGGTTGGCAACAATAGGAGAAACTGGAGACCCCATAGCACACCCATGTTTCTGCCTATAATATTGCTCCCCATATGTGAAGTAGGTTGACTGCAGGCACAGTTTCAAGAGTTGACACAGTTGTTCTGTGGAAAGCGTGGTCCTGCTGCTCAGAGTGGTGTCTCATTTTAATCTTAAACTGACCACCTCTACTGCATCATCAACAGGAATGCACGTAAAGAGTGATGTGACATCTAAAGAGACCATTGTTTCATCAGTCTCCATGATGACATCCCTCACCTTGTCCACAAAGTCCATGGTGTTCTGTATGTGGTGTTCTGAGCTGCCAACTAAAGGGATGAGTACAGACGCAAGTTATTTGGAAACGTTAACTGACAGAGCTCCCACCACACAGACATGGCATGTAAAGGGAAGCCCAGCCAGGTCTGGTCAAATAAAGGACATTTGCATGTCCCGCCCGTCGTTGTGCAGGACAAGTGACAGGGGGGCAAAATCCTGGGACTGTCTAGCCAAGGGTTCTGCAACCTTTACAATCAAAAGAGCCATTTCTGCCCCTCCGTTCACTAAATTAAACGTGTCCAGAGCTGCAAAACTTGATACAATTGTCATTATCAACTGGTGGCCCATGGGCCACTTTAAGTTTGTTAGAGAGAGCTTTTCTGGCCAGTGAGTGTGAATTTATAAAACTAAAAGTATTCAACAATTGTAAACATTTATTGATATTTTTACATTTTGAGAACAAAGAAAAGACTGGATTCCATCCATCCATCCATCCATCCATGATCTTTACTCGCTTTTTTCCTTTTTGGGTTGCAGAGGCACTGGTGCCCATGTCCAGGTCATAAGTCCATCACAGAAGACTGGATTCTTGTAAAGAAAAAAATATATATATTATTTTGCCAATTTTTTTAAAAACTAAAACAATGCAGGCTTATGTGTTTTTGTTTTTTAATTGTGGAAAAATTGAATATCCTACTTTGAAGAAATAAAGCATAAAGTTAAAGAGAGTATAATTTGCTTTGTGTATTAGTACTAGTATCCACATATGTGTAAAGGAAATGACAGGAAAACTGATAAAACTAGTCATTTTTTGTTGTGGGTACATACTATAAAATTCAGTTTTGTGTTATTTTTGGTCAAAGCTTGAAAGAGCCGCTGCAGAGGAACCAAAAAGCCACATGTGGCTCCAGAGCCGCAGGTTGCAGACCCCCGATCTAGCCCATATCGGGACGGTTGGCAGGTATGTGAGGTAAAACCACCCAGGATTGACTTGATCCATTGCTGGGCTACAAATTAGATTGTTTTTAATCAGCAGTTTGTTGTGCGTATAAGCAATGATCTGACATACTATGTACCTTAAATAATAATAATAATAATAATAATAATAATAATAATAATAATAATAATAATTTTATAGCAAGATGCTTACAGCTGACTAGCCAGAGATTCTATACATTATTTAAAGACTCGCCCTGCATTTTAACAATGAAAAGTGAAATATGTATGTTAGTTCTTGTACATACGTAGTTCTGCTGCATACATTTGAGGCATGAACCATTTTGTTGTTCTGTACAAACCCGACAGTGACAAGTTTTGTAGTTTGTAGTCACATTATTTATTAAATGTAAATGATGGTTTTACTAATATTACCTCAGGCATACAAAGACAAAAACAATTGAGGACAGGCATTTAATCATGTAAATTATCTGGATAAGTTATCAGATCTGACCAGTTGTCCTCCAGAAGGAACGTCTTCGAAGCTTTATCTCTTGCTGGAAGTGACATCATCATGTTGTCAGGACAACAAAGACACAGTTATGCATCTTTAGTGCAAACAAATGCATTTTCTTGGCTGCAGACTTCATCGTTGACATGATCTTGTCCTGTAAACAATAAAAAATATCAAAATAACTGAAATTTGAAACAAGATAATGTTTTGTCTTGAACAGAAAGCCAAACAGGTGTCACAAAGAATGACTAGATAAAATCCTGTAATATATTATTTCAGCTAAAGTGACACACAAATTAAACCTAATTCTGTCATTCACACTGGAAACATCTTTTTTGTTTTGTTTTGTCCCCTCGCTCAGCCTGGTACGAGGCAGACGCTTTCTCTTCCCCCTCCAGTTCTCGTCCTGCTTTTTTGCTCTCTGTCTGTGTATCGGAGCTCTTATTTTTACACATCTTCCGAAATGAAAACTACTGTTATGGATCTGATCAACTGAACTTTCAACGCAATCAACAAAATCTTTTCAACAAAGTGACAGGGTCCTGGAGAACCCTCACATTCCGCTGACAATCTCAGGACACCGAAGACGTATACAATCAGATTTATAACAGGTTTCCTGCTTTTTGGAAATCATCTGGTTCCTGGTCTATCACCATACAAAGAAGACGGCCGCTGCTAATCTGGCCTGGTCAGGCTGCTGCCTATGTGAAGGTTTGGTTCGTGCTTTGAGGACTCAAAATCAGCTGATTTACGAGCTAAATCGTAAGATAGCAGTGATTTGTGAGAATTGCAGGCCACTTGCAGCTTTGGGACTGCCAGCAGGAAACAACCTTGGAGGGGCTCGTAAGCATGGACCAGTAGAATGCACGCTAATCTGGCCATTTTGGATCTTGAAAGTACCAGTAAGACTAAGGCTGACAAGAAAAATGGTCTGCCTGAAAAAATAAAATAAAATCAACAATTGTGGCTTATTTGAATCTGACTCCCCCTGTTGGCCTCGAAAACAGGTCGACATATCAATTTCTCCTGGGAAATGTGTAAACTAAGGAAAAGCTTCATCTATTGTCCCCCCCCCCCCACCCCACACACACACACACACACACACATCACCACCACCACCACTTGAGAACTTCTGTGGAGGCTTATCAGAACTGTGCCAGCTGACCATCATCTTATCAGGACAATGGACTATCTGATAGTGCTTCATGGACCGCCTTGTCGTCAAATGCATAATAACATGTTCATAAATGTGCTGCTGGCAGAGTTTTTGATGTCTTAAATCGTGTCCTGATTGGACAAGGTGTGAAGAGATCTTTTTTGTAATGCCACTATCCTCTCCTTATGGCATTGTCCCTTTTTCTATCTGAAAAATGTATTCTGAAAATAATAAGAGGCTTCTCTACCATAGCAGCAGTTACGTGCACTCCGCCCATCTTTCGGAGGACTGTGCGGACATATTCTCGCTGTATCTCAGTACAGTGATAATAAAGCTTGTTCGATTCTGATTTAAAGAGCAGTTATACCATCCACGTTGATATCCATGCAGTTCTCGTGTCCACCCAAGTTGTTTGGTTCCCCATTGCCCCAATGAGTGTAGGAGAAGTCTGAGCCATCGCTCCATTTCCACACACCTTCCTGTGAGAGGAAGTTTTCAAACATAATTTCTTTCTTTTTATGCTGATTGTGAAAAGATTTACAGAAAACTCCTTCCACTAGTTAGATTGCTACATAAAATATTCACCTCTTCTGCATCAGTGCCTCCAACCCAAGATTTTGTGTTGGTTCCGGTAGCTCTCACAATGACTGTCCTAATGAAGTCGTACTCATCTTTGTCATGAAACGAGGCCAAATGTCCAGCATGGTCAGTGCAGTATCCCTGTGTGGAAAGATGCCAGCATATTTACATCATCACATCTTAATTATTGTGATGAGCTAGTTGTACAGGAGGCAACTAACATGGCAGTAATATCTGTGAAGTCTCTGACTAAAACTGGTCTTCATCTGTATCAGGTTGGCAACTGATTCAAGCTAAAAATGTCACATCAAGGAACATCTATGACCGATGAACACATTACTGCCTTAGATCGTCCACAGGGGTCTAAAACAGCGCTACGTAAAAATGCAACTGGCTCCAACATAAGAAACATTCTGTTTTGCAGCATAATATCATTATCAAGAACAAGATATTAGGTAGTAGAAGATTTAATTGTGACCAAGGAACATCTAGTAAAAATGATAATTGAAAAAAACAATGAGTCTTGGTTTCCGTAGTTCTGCTTCTTGTTTGAGGAACATTCTCAGTTCAAAACTGCGATGATGCAGAGTTTTAACTTCACAGTGAATCTAGACGAACAGGCCACACAAATACAATGAACAGTTAAACAGTTGTACCTCTGCATCACCCCAGGACTTTTCAGTACTTTTGAACAGGTAACAGCGGCTTCTATTCAATGTCCATGTAGGAGGACAGGTTTTACAAGGTCGTATAAGACATTCACCTACACAAACAGAAGAAAATTTGATTTTTATTAAATGTGATTGAAAAGTAATCAGTGACCAAAATAAGGTTTTCAATAATGTGACACTACTGCATGAAATACATCCATCCATTATCTTTTACCCGCTTCTTCCATTTTGGGTCACGGGGGTCGCCGGTGCCCATGTCCAGCAATCACTGTGCGAGGGGCGGGGTACACCCTGGACGGGTCGCAAGTCCATCACAGGGCCGCATGAAATACAACCATTTATTTTTCTGCAGTTCATTTGGTGTGAAATGAATTATTAACAAAATCTCCACTTTCAGTTTTGGAGAGAAAATTCAGAGTTCAATTTTGATTTAACTTAAATTCAAACCACAAGTGTACGTTTTGATTTATAAGCTGTATACGTGTAAAGTTTGAGGGAATAGAAAGTTCATTTTCAAAGACTTTTGTAAAGTTTAAACAGCTCAAAAGTTGAACATTGGGTGGAAAAATCTCCAAAAACTAAAAAACCTAAACTGTGTATGTGAAAAATTGTTAAAAATTTTAAAATGCCATTTCAGACATATAAAATCCAACTTTCTTTGTCCTGTTTAAACGTTTCCACTCTGAAATTTGTCTGAGATAAACAGGGCTGGATTAGATTTAGTCTCAATCGTACAAATTGTTGCAACCAAAAGTCCTAACAAAATATTGTCAATGGAGCTGCACATCGTGATTTATATTTTACCTGGGTTATCTGAACTGTGGGAGGAATTCATTCACTCAACCTTTATTTATACATATATCCATACATTTATAGTGTAGTGAACCTGATCTGACCCTGATGACCTCAAATCTATCAGATGG